CCCCCACAGCCCGCTCATCCCCCTGCCCCCCCCCTCCCCCCCCGCAGCGCATGTGCGGAAGTTGGACTCCTTCCCCCACAAGAGTGCCCGGCCCCCCATGCCCATCTTGGAGGCCCCTGGGCTCCCTGGAGAAGGGGGAAATGGTGGCTCCCGCCCTGAGGACAGAGGTACTGGCTCCCCCTCCCCCAGTGTCCTGGGGCTGGCTGGGTGGGGAGACACAGGACCTGCCTGGCTTCCTGGAGTCCTCAAAGCGGCCCCTCCCCCATTCTCCCAGGAAGTCTGAGCTCAGGGCCACCGCTGCCCTTCCATCCCCTCTCCTTCTCTCCTGCACCCTCCCACCTCCTCGGGCTGGGGCTGTGGAACCTGATGGCTCAGATGCTGAGGTGGACGGAGAGGCTGATTGAGGGATTGAGCAGACAGAGCTCGGAGCCTCAATGGGGAGAATGGGGAGGGTTGTGGGGAACAGCACGTCACTGTGGGTGGGGGAGAGGGAAGGGGAGGGGCCCTGCCTGTGGAGGGGCCCTGCCTGTGGGAAGCCCTGCCCACCAGGGCCCACACCAGGCTGGCAGGTGCTCTCATGAAGACCCCACCCCATGCCTCCCCCACCAGCCCCACCTCACTCTGAACTTCAGCCACTGAGCCCACAATCGGGGCCTGTTGGGACTCAGGGACCCCCACCCCAAGCTTTCACCCTTGCCAGGCACTCACCTTCCTCTGGGTCAGAATAGGGTCCAGAGAAAGGTAGTGTTGCCATCTGCTGCCCTGTCTCAGCCGCCCCTCCTTCTCAGGTGCACCCGCAGCCCTGGCTCAGGTGGGCAGCCCTCAGCCACAGGGGAGCAAGATTCCAGGATACTTGGGAGGAGCAGGGGGACCTGGCCTGGGGAGAGGAGGTCCCGGAGGTGCGTGGGGGCTTTGGGGGAGCCTGCCTAGTGGGAGCCCAGGGAGGCCCTGCCAGGGGCTGCACTCAGAGAGGGGGCAGTGTGCACCAGGGAGGGCACCTGGGCCAGACAGGCACAGTGGGGGCCGAGGGGCAGGGTCCTGCAGAGGGCTCCCCTTGTTTCTGCCCTGCTCACGGCCCAGATGGGCTCGCCGGACAGTGGGGCTGGGCGGGCTGACCGGGGTCAGCTGTCCCTTGCACCCCCAGACCTGCCGGTCTTCTCTCCCCTCCTGCCAGGCCGTTCTCCCTGCTGCCTGGAGTGACCTGCACCTCTTCCCTGGAGTCTCAGAGGAGCCGGAGAGTGTGGGAGGAGCTGGAGGCGGGCGGATGGGCAGCGAGGGCGGCACCTCTCTCTCCTCTGTACCGTTCCCTCCGCCCCATAAACCTCATCATGGAGTCAGACTCCCACCTTCAATCCCACAGTCTACCTGCTGCCTTGGGGCTCCCCACCTTCCCTCGAGGCAGGCAGCCCCACCTGAGCCTCCAGAGCTCAGTGCTGCCAGGCCAGGGCCCTCAGTCTAAGCCACACGCTGGGTCACTGGGTGGGGGTGGGCTTTAAAAACAGCGCCCAGCCCACCCTCAGAGGCCCATGTGTCTCAGCCCCGGCCCCGCAGCCTCCGTCCACACCTGCTCCCCTGGGACTTCATCGCTGTGGGCCTGGCCAATTCCACGCCACGTCCTTTCCTAACCACCAGCAGGATCTGGGGTGGGGGTTCCTTCATGCACAGTGGCCAAGGGCTTCTACGGAGACAGTGGAGCAGAGGCAGGAGCCCAGCGGGGCGTGAAGGTGGTAGGAGGCTCCAGCAGGGGCGCAGCCCGAGAGGCCGGAGGCTGGGCCAGCCAGGCGGGACCCGGCATGCCAGGAGGGCCGAGCCCAGGGCTCGGGGAGGTCTGGGTTCTTCCGAGGAGCACTGGGAGCCACGGGCTCCTGAGCGGGAGCTGCTGTGACCGCCTGAGAGCCAGCTTGGGGACCTCACCTGCTGTCCACTGAGATGGAGCTGGCTGGGCTGTGGGGAGGCAGGTTTGGGGCTGGCTGCTGGCTAGGCCACTGGTTCGGGGGGGGGCCAAGAACAGCCCTGGGCTGGAGAGCGGGTTCCAGGTGCCTCCAGTAGCCAGGTGTTGAAGAGCAGGTGGGTGGGTTGGTGAGTCTGGTGTTCACGGGGGCAGAAGTGTGGGCACCACCATCTGGGAGGCGAGTGGAAGCCAGGGGTTGGCTTCCCTGGGGCTGAAGGCAGCCTGGCTCGTCCCGGGACTGAGTCCCAGGCTCATCTCCGAGGCCGGAGGGTGTGGGTGCAGAGACCACCTGCTGGGACGCTCCAGAGAGAGCAAGGCCAGAAGACCCTGGGCCAGTGGGGTGTTTGGTCAAGGAGCCAGCAAGTGAGGAAGACACCTCTTTTCATTTAATCACCTGAGGATATTTTTTGCATTGTTTTTCAGAGAGAGTAGAAGGGAAGGAAGGGGCGGGGGGAGAGTGAGAGAGAGACATCAATTGGTTCCCTCTCTCACGCCCTGGACTGGGGTTGGGGGTCAAACCTGCAACCCAGGTACATGCCCTTGACCAGGAATTGAACCCGAGACCCTTTGGTGCTGGGACTGGTGCTCTAACCACTGGGGACACCGGCCAGGGCTGGAGATGCCTCTTGGTCACCACGGGGATGAGCTACCATCTTGGGAAGGAGGCTGGAGTGGGTGGAGGACCTCTGCTGCCGCCCCGGGCACAGGATCCCCACCTGCTGGCCCAAATGGAGTACGGCCTGGGCTGAGAAAGACACGAGCCTGCCTGCCTCTCGACCCTCGACCTGAGCTGTGGGCTGCTGCACAGGGGTGCACGTGAAGCCATCACAGCACAAACCTACACACGCACACACACTTTCCCATACACACCCGCCGCTGCTAACACGCACATGTGTGCACATGCCTCACACGCCTCATCGTGTGCAGTGCTCCTGTAAGGTCGGGGAGAGGACTTCCGGGGAAGGTGTGACACCTGGGAGCTGAGCAGGAGAGGAGGCCGGTCCCCACGGTCCCAAACTGAACACTGCGGCGTCTTCACGGAGGGAGGGTGGGCATTAACGGCATGAAAACGTCAGGAAAAGGCAACGGGAAATGTGTGCAGAAAACACACCGGGAGAACACCAGCAGGGTGGGCGGGGCAACCAGGACCCGGGGAACGCAGCTGAAGGTCAGGCAGGGCAGAGGACCAAGCACGACCCAGGCCGGCTCCCTGGTTAGGGAGGCCAGCGAGCGCGGTGGGAGTGCTGAAAAGTGGTTTTTTTAAGATTTGAGAATTAGAGGAAGTTAAGGTCTCAGATCAAAAGGCTCAGAGTGCCAAACATGGTTGATTTTTTAAATGTAGATTCATTCACACGAAGCACGACAGAGGAAACCGTCTTTAAACGCCCACAGAATGAGAGCCACTGGACGGCAGAGGCGGGAGGCAATGACCTCCAGTGTTGAAGGAAAAGCGCACAGACTTTACCCCATAAAATCCTCACTGAGTGAACAGGCCCCGAGTCTAAGGAGCGGGAAGCGAGGTGCATTCCGCAGGAAGGACGGACGGACGGAGTCACACGTGACCTGACACACAGGAAGTGCAGGGCTGCTCGAAGAGCCTCGCCCTCCGCAGATCATCGCCTGCAGCAGCCTAGAATTCTAGATTGTTCCAGGGCCGCGGGACCCTGAGTGCAGGCGCTAGTTCTGTTGGGGGCCTGTGAGGGTCTCTGTCAACTCCTGCAGCTCTGGAGAAGCACAGGCTCCGGCCGCAGGTCCGAGCAGCCGCGGGGGAAGCGCGCTCCTGTGCGGGGCCTGTGGGCCAGGCAGGGGCGAGCTGCTCCACGCGCAGGGGTCACGGCACATCTGACCCGGGAGGTGAGCTCTCCCTGCGTCAGAAGACAGGACACGCTTCCTGCTCCCGCGGCCAGAGGAACCAACACTCGAGGAACCAGGAAGCAGGAGATCAGGGGCCACGTTGCCAGGCATCTTACTGGGGAAGGACCGTGTTTTCAACAAATGGTTCAAAACTGCTAGAGGTTCGAATCAGAAACATTGATGCTCTGCCCTTGTCTACACCAAGCACAAAACTTAATTAGAAAAACATGGTAGCCCTGGCTAGCGTGCTCAGTGGTTAGAGCATCAGCCTGCAAACCAAAGGGTCTCAGGTTCGATTCCCGGTCAAGGGCAGGTTTGATCCCTGGCCCCAGGCGGGGTGCGTGTGGAAAGCAACCAATGGATGTGTCTCTCTCACATCATTGCTCTCTCTTCTACCCCCGTCCTTTCCACTTTCTCTCTAAAAAAAAAAAAAATCAACGGGGTGAGGATTAACAAAAAAAGAAAAACACGGTAACCCTGAAGACGAGAAAGCTGTAAGCATTCTAGGTGACAGAAGGCAGGGGAGGGGCGCATTCCTAAGCCCAGGGCGGCCAGGAGCTCACACAGGATCCATAAAGCAGCAGCCACAGAAAGAAAAATGAAGACATGGCCCCTCATCAGAACGAAAAGCTTTTCTGGGAAAGATGCGGTTGGGGAAAAGTGTCATCACGCACAGGGAAGGAAGTCTCCCACAGGAGGACGGACAAAAGCCTTGGGCCCCAGCACACAGGTGGCACACACCCTCTAAAAGCCACGTGACCAATAATGAGCAAACGTCCAGCCGACACCCACTGCAGAGCTTCTGGGGGGAGCGGGTGTCCACTTGGGAAGGCTCGGCACCCCGTGACCAATGACCCCACACAGGTGTGTACCTGGGAGTGCTCTGGGCCCCATCATGACTTCTTTTTTTTCTTCCATTGATTTTAGAGAGAGTGGAAGGAGGGAGGGAAGGGGAGAAAGATAAACATGGACGTGAGAGAAACACATCAACTGGTTGCCTCCCACACGCACCCGACGGACCAAGGATTGAACCTGCAACCGAGGTACACGCCCTTGACCAGAATCAAACCTGCTAACCTTGGGTGTGCGGGCCAACGCTCTAACAACTGAGCAACACGGGCCAGGGCCATCATGACTTACGAAGGTGACCGGGGGATGTCCCGAAGGGGCCAATGCCGTTGAGAAGAGAATCCATTACTTAATTTCCGGAGAGAAGGGTTATGTCACACTGTGTGGGGAGCACGGACCTTGGTCGGGAGACAGAGGGGGCGAGGGAGGGCCAGGCAGGGCAGGCACAAAGCTCAGGAGTGACGAGCTAGGACATCCCCGCGGGCCTCCGGGCCCTGGGCAGTCCCTCCTTGTCTGGGCCCCAGCGATCGAGGAGGGGAAACACTGGCCCGGTGTGTGAGTGAGATGAGGGGTGGGGGCAGGGCCCTGGACATAAGGACATGAGGCATGAGGACATCCCTGAAGACCTCACAGCATGTCACAGCGCGTGAGTCGTGACGGCGAAACCCGGAGACCACGTTCTTCAAGGGGGACGAGACAGCGAGCTCCGTTGATTCAGGCGAAGAACTCTGCTCACAGTTGAAACAGGAC